CACTTCTTCACAGTGAATGAGATCACAACGTTTTTCTTTTGTCTGTTCAGGACACGTTTGGGAAGTCTGATCCATTCCTGGAGATTTCTAAAAAAGGAGACGACGGAAAGTGGCAGCTGGTCCACAGAACAGAGGTACCTCCACACCCACAGACACACACACACACACACACAATGATGTCATTGTGATGAAGTTGATGGTGAAATTGTGATTGTTTGTTTGTTTTTAGGTGGTGAAGAACAATCTAAATCCCACCTGGAAGAAGTTCTGCATTCCTCTGCAAACGTTCTGCTGCAGCGACCTCGAAAGACCGCTGAAGGTTCCACCAATCAGATCCCTCGATTCAAAACTATTTCACAATGCACCTTCAATCGTAACAACCAATCCAAATCTTCACCGTTAACTCTCCTCCTCCTGCAGGTGGATTGCTCCGATCACGACAGCGATGGATCTCACGATCTGATCGGTTCTTTCACCACCAAAGTCTCGGAGCTGCAGAAAGCTGCGCAGGGTTCACCGGTGAGTTCACTGATTATAAGAATGGCTTCAATCTTCAGTCAGCTGATCAGACGTCATCGAACTGCGTGATGTGTTCTCCAGGTGGCCTTTGACTGCATCAACCCGGAGAAACAGAAGAAGAAGAAGAGCTACAAGAACTCTGGAGTCGTCTCTGTGAAGAACTGCAAGGTAGAGACTGCATTACCCAGAATTCCCTGCTCGGGGTTGCTGCTTTGGAAACTATGAAGCTCAGATGTTGATACTGAACTGTGCCTCTATGTGTCTGATTTACAGCTGGTAACTCAGTACACCTTCCTGGACTACGTGATGGGCGGCTGCCAGATCAATTTCACCGTACGTCTGCACCAGTGAACACACGCACATTTCCAATGTTGTGTTTGAATCCATGAATCAGAAAATAGTCACGATACGTAGTTTTCTTTAGATACAGAGATGTAATCTTGGAATCCTTATGAACTGTCGCATAGTTAACCAGTTCATAGACTGTGTTTCTACCACATTAATTTATCGATTAATATGTGAACTATTTAGTTTAATAATGAATGAATGATTGTTTTTAGGTGGGAATCGACTTCACCGGCTCTAATGGGGATCCTCGCTCGCCCAACTCTCTCCACTACATGAGTCCGGACGGGCTGAACCAGTACCTGTCGGCTCTGTGGTCTGTGGGTCAGGTGGTCCAGGACTACGACACGTTAGTGCCTGCTCACACTTAACTTAAACTACACAGACTCTACATCCATCACTGAACCTCAAACTCTGAACTGTGAACTATCATTTTACGGTAAATAACAGTGGTTATTTTGTTTCCTGTCTTAGTGATAAACTCTTCCCTGCATTTGGTTTTGGAGCCAAACTTCCTCCAGACTATCAGGTCAGCTCTCTAACCAACCAATCACAACGTTGCTGTCTATGTCTTTAATAGTCTCTCAAGTGTGACATTGTTCTGAAATTGTTTTTTTTCTAATTGTGCAATTTGGTTGAACTGAGCTTTATGAAAATTGGAATAACACAATTTTCCTGAAGAGCCAATCAGAGTAGAGCGTATAGATTGACATGTGTTATTAATCCTTGTGTTGTTTTTCTTGCAGGCGGCACATCACGAGTTTGCGCTCAACTTCAACCCCACTAGCCCGTACTGCCAAGGTACACGCAGTAAAAATCTGTCATTCAAAATTTTTCTCAAGCTAAAATAGAAGTTTTTGTTCTGTAGGAAAAAATAACTATTTGGTCGAAAGAAGTTTCAAACAAAGCTTTGTCTCATGAAACAGTTTAAAAAGTGAAATAGAAAAATAGAATGGTTTGGTTGTTTGACCAGCAGATGGCGTGTGAAGCACAACTTCAATCTTCACTTCATCTGGATTATTTCAGTTTCCTTATAAATCTGAACATGTTCATCTCACTGCTTTTCCTCTCTGTCTCAGGTGTCGAGGGGATCGTTGATGCCTACAGGAAGGTTTTACCTCAGCTCAGACTGTCTGGACCCACAAACTTTTCTCCCATCATCAACCACGTCGCCTCCATCGCCACCGGCGCTGCACAGGTCGACAGTGCCTCTGTGAGGAGACGCACAAAACACACAAAGAAATGAACCGCAAACACACACTCAGCCTTTTTCTTAAGTCTGTGTCTCTCTGCAGCAATACTTTGTCCTCCTCATCCTCACTGACGGTGAGATCACCGACCTTGACCAGACCCGGGACGCCATCGTACGGGCGTCACGGCTGCCGCTGTCAATCATCATTGTGGGGGTGGGGCCAGCTGACTTTAAGGCCATGGAGCTCCTGGATGGAGACGACGGTGTTCTGAGGTCAACGGTGGGGGAGGCAGTCGCCAGGGACATCGTTCAGTTTGTCCCGTACAGACAGTACAAAGACGTAAGGCTTGTTAACGTAGAATATCAGCCTCATTAGACCTCTCCTCCACCGCTCCTCACGATGAATGTCCGACTAACTTCTCATCTCTCCGTCTCTTCAGGCTCCCAAGGAGGCTCTGGCTCAGTCAGTCCTTGCTGAGGTCCCCAACCAGCTTGTCTCTTACTTCAAGATGAGAGGCTATGATCCACCCAAACCTAAAGCTGCAGACAAATCTTAAACCCACCCCAACCTTTATCTCCCTGTAATCCCCACATCGCCCATAAAGCTGAACGCCACCCTGATTTCATTCCGGGCTCAGACCAACGCCAACCCTCCCCAACTCATAAAGTCGAGCACTCTTAAGGGATCAACCTGAAGTTTTTACTGGAGTCTTAGCCAATCACAGGGCAGGATACAGCTGTCAGCCAATCAGGGTGCCAGGGAGAACACCCCAGTTTTCAGTTTTTTAAATCAGTTTGATAATCATATTATTCCTTCAGATGATAACATAGTATAGATTAAAGATTTATTCCTTCTGCTGCTTCCACGCCAACTATGCACGTGTCAAAAAGATTTTGGAGCCACACACACACTCACACACACACACACACACACACACACACACACACACACACACACTCGGACAGCGTTTCACAGTGTCACCAGATTTAATGACTGTTGCCATATTAACAGTAGAAAGGCACTGATCTGCTGAGAGCCGAACGTGTCAAAACCATAACAGAAAACTTGACTTCATGCAATTATTAATTGTTATTAATAATTACCATTCGTTGCCATGGGGACACTATGCAGTGTGTGCGGCTCTTATTACCTTTATTAATCAGGTGTCAATACTTTGCACTTTGGGTCTTGAACTAAATGCTTGAAACTAGCTTTACGAATGATATTCACTTTAACATAGCTTTACCACAGTAGCCTTAGTATAGACTTTACTATAGCCTTATTATAAACTATAGCCTCATAGACTTAATTGTCTATTTGCTGCTCAGCTGCTTCAGCATGAACATATCTTGACTTCTATGTCTATTCTACTATCGACCAGTAACCTGTGTTTCCTAAAATAGGACTGACCCTCGTTTGACCAGAAAGGAGAAACTTTAGATTTGAACATTGCAGTTTGTGACAAATTAATTTTGAGAATTAACTTATCTAAGTCTTTCACTTGAGAATAAGAACTAAATGTTTTAGACCGTGTTTATTGTGACAATCAAAACAGAAATTTGACAGCAAAAAATAAATCAGTAGATGAAGTTGGGGGAGTGAGACGACGCACAAGAAGGATTTGAATAATCCAAGAGGACCACTTTGTTGACCACAAATAGCAGCAGATTTAATAGGCGGAAGTTTCTCTGTCAGGCTTCCATGTTCCACTTTGTTTTTCTTTATAGTTGCCAAACCTTGTTTTTATGTCAGTTTTTTGGTCAAAGACAGAAATGTGTTTTTAATCATGAAGAGAATGCATTTTACCAATGTTACCAGGCTCACTAGATGTTACTGAAACTATCAGGGGAGGATTAAAATTACAGAACTATCGACCACAAACTAGCTCCATTGCTTAAAACTAACTGCTATTAACCAACCAGTATAATTAACCAGCATGAGTAGTGATATCATGTCTGTACGACCTCTGACTGTGGGAGAGCAACAATAAAACAACTTTGGTATAAAAAAAACGTGTCTGTTTATTATGTTAAAGTGGAAATAAGCTTCTTAAAGCACATTATTCTATGAATTATTCCAACTTTATGTTGCTTGAAAATTCAGTGTGATAAGTATTATCTAAAGTGACAGAAACCATATTTGAGAAAATTGTATTTAACATGTACTTTAATTGATCTTTTTGTTTAGTCCATGTCCCATCCACTAACATTGAGGAGGTAGGGTTTATGACGCATTCCGCAGCCCGCCTTTATTTGAAAAGTAAACAAGAAAGGTAACGACCTAAACACAAATATTAACTTAGGCTGAAGGTTTGTACAGACAATCAAGCAACAGCTGCATGATGGGAAAAAAGCGGCAGTTTTTTCAAGAAATAAACAAGACAATGATGTGCACACTCAGACACACACACACACACACACTGGTTTACTGACGGCAAGAACAGACCCGAGGCTACAGACAACCAGTCCACCTTGTATCAGAATTGGCGACAATTGACCCAGAGGACATGAGGTCCTCACTTAGACTAAAAATAATAACTTATGTTTCTAGACAAAAAGGCCACATTTTATTTTGTCAAATAAAGTATTGATTATTTATCGGAAATGAAAACAGTCTAATGTTCAACCCCCTCCTTCATTCAGAAGATGTTTCTGTTCCCTGTGATGTAACTTCCTGTTTAACTATGATCAGTGAACCTTTACATTGATTCATGGCTGCTTCTCTTCACATTAACAGTAACCGTGACGATGGTTGGTTTTGAATTTTGTCCCTTGGTCCGTATACTTGACGAATGGGAGCAGCCTGGTGCCGTGTTTTATTTTTCCTGTCCAATGGTTTTGTTTCTCAGCAGAATTTTACTCAAACTACAGAAGAGATTTCCACAAAAACTTGGTGGAAAGAAAGGAACACGAAAGAGTCACGAATAAGAACCAGATCCAGGAAATGTTTTATTGTCACTTTCTTTAAAGTTGTAAGAATATTTCATAATTTATAGATATTCAGAAATAATCTGCCACATTTAGAGAATGGATCTTCATGCTTGATTGACTGTTGGCGGAGGTACGCTCTCACTCATTAACAGATTTGATCAACTGCAGTAAAACTGCTCCAACAGATGGGAGGGGTTTAGAAAACGTGGGAAGTTTTAATTAGAATTTTACTGAACAGACATTTTACTGTCTTCTGTGGTTTTTGTTTTCATAATGTGATCAAACGTTACCGTCTTCCAGCTTCAACACAAACACCAGACTTCATTCAAAAGAGAATACTTTTAAAACTCACTTTGCTGTTTTGGATTTTCAGTGTTTGTCCTTATTCAAATCTTTTACTTTGTTTTATTGAATTTAAGGACCTGGTGACAGTAAGTGTGTATGTGTGTGTGTGTGTGTGTGTGTGTGTATGTGTGTGTGTGTGTTCAAAGGAGGAAACTAGTTGAGCAACTGCATTTGCTTTCTCAAACATTAGCGAGGACCTGCCCTAACAGACACACACACACACACACACGTACCTCCCATCACACTGTGGGACAGCAAACACACACAGTTAGTTTCAAACTGTTGAGCAGAGGAGACGAGATGAGACGACTTTAGAGCAACGAAATGTACAAAGACAGCTGAACGGATTAAATCGTCATGTCCATCAGTGTGAATCTGGGGAGGGTCTCCAACCTGCCGGGACGTTCAGACAGAAAAGTCGAACTGAGTTTCAGAGGTCAGTAACACACATTCTGTCTTCATACACTATTTACTGTATCACGTCTGTGGACTGTCCTGTCCATATACGTTTGTCTACTTTTGATCTGGTGTGTTTATACTGGTTTGGGCCCCTTGTACCTGTAAGAAGTATTCACTTTACTCAAGTAAAAGTAATAGTACAATATTTGAATAACTGCTTAGTCCAGCAACACAAAGTGAACTGGCTGTTTAAATAAAAACACCCAAACTTTGCAGTTTCCAGCTCCTCAAATGTAAAACTGGTAGTTTTGGAGTTTTTGAAGATCTAACAAAAAAGAGAAAAACTTTCTCATGAACTGTAGGAAATTATATCCAAATATTTCACTTCATTGTAATAATGATAACTGATAAATGTAGATCAATACCTATACGATACGAGATGAGACGATACAAGACGGTCTGTACAGTCTAATGCGATAAGATGAGGTCTCTACAACTCACTAATAATTTATTAATGCCTCAAACAGGGAAACTAAAAGTCACCTTACACATACAACAGTCAACAGACAAAAGAAAATCAAACATTACAGGAGTAGTACAGGATAATCAATGTGACAGATTCATAAATACCAACACCAACCACAGCATCAGATCATCATCTTCAGTCATCGATGATGTTCATTAAAAAGGTACAAACGACTTCCTGAATCTTTTTCAATAACATGTAGTGCAGCAGACGAGTGAGCGTCACAGAGTCCATAAAGTGTCCAAAGAAAAGAACTTGTCACAGACTGTCGGAGCTTATTTCCTGTTCTCTGATAAAAAAAATAGTTCACACAGAGGATTCATAGCAGGACTGATGAAATCAATTTCATTTGCGTTGGATAGGTGTACCTAATAAACTGCATGATGCTTTAACGTTTCTTTGCCCTCATACTTTAGCATAAACACGAAAACTAAAATCCACATGTACTTGTCAGTGTACTGCTCTTTGATTTGGTGTTTGTTTCTGGTCATCAAGTGCTGAAGCGTCAGTACTGCTGTCATGGTAACTCGTCTGTCGGTCTCTCTGTCCTCCAGGTTTCAAACAAAAATCCAGAGTCCTGCAGAGTGAGAGCGTGGCCGTCTTTGACGAGGTGAGTAAACCAGGCTGCTGTGGTCTGTCCGTCCCCCGTGGGCACAACTGAACCAATCAGAGCGCTAACGTCACTCGCCAGATGGTGTGTTACACTGAAGCAGGTTCCACGGTTGATCGGTTGAACCACTTTGACGGTTCTGTCTGCAGCTATTGATCATAAACTCCCTGTCCTCCATGTTAGCAGATGGGACATGGACCAGATCAACAGTACACAATACACAACAAATGTAGTTTTTCTCAAAGGTGGTTAAGTGAATGTGAAAACTCAACTTGTCTTTACAAATATAAACTTCAGTTCTCAGGCGACAGGTGAACTTCCACTGATGTCGGACTGAAGTTTCAGGTAGAAACTGGACGAGACACTGAGATTTCAGATCATGTGACCTTCCTGTATTTGTCCAGTGTGTGTGTGTGTGTGTGCGACAGCAGGTAGCTTATTTGTCTGCTTCAGATTGAAAGTATTTTAATGGGGCTGATAAAAGACTGTACCACTCCTACAGTACACACACACACACACACGTAAATGTAAAAACTCCTCCTTAAAAACACACACACACCTACACTTAATGTAATTCTATCTTTTTTACTCTGTAGAGACAAAAATGCATTGCCCCTGAAACAACCACGTCTCTATAGATAGTTTCACCACTTCGATCCTGATTACTGAACTATTCAAGGTATTCAGAAATAAGTTTTTACAAACATTCATGGTTCTCAGAGGATAAATCCTCATTACTTTGACTGTGCCATGTCTTTTCCTTTAGCTCCATGAAGAGCGTGAATTTTTTGTCCTTGAGTGAAATGACTCAACGGATATTAGAAGAACCATCATGAAATCTGTGCAGGCATTTATGTTCCCCAGAAGATCCATCCATCCATTTCCTTCCACTTATCCACTAGATCACCTACCATATAATGATTAACTATTTTTTTCTATATAAACTTTAGGTTGTGTCCATAGTCCTATAGAATGCTTCAATACTTTGAAAAATGCAATTTGCTGTAAGCTGTAGATGGTCTATTGTTTGTGTATATATCTTGTAAGATTTGTTTCTAGGACCATATTTGACCTCGACCTTTAATGTTCGACCAATCAGCTCTAAAAGTTAATCATCTCCCCAGAAATACTTTGAGCAAGTTTGGTGAAAGTCTGTCCATGCATTTATGAGATATTTGGTACACACACAGTCAGGGGCAAAAACAATACCCTGCCTCTGGATCTCCATAGCAACCACTGCTGAGGCTCATGGGTAATGTGGCATTTAAAGCCAGTTGGTCCCAACTAAAGGAAAAAACGTGACACGTTTCCACCTGATGACAAGAACACACAGATCCGCCTGGAAACAAACAAACAAACAAACGATGCGTGATTGTTACAAATGGAGAACATATATGTTGAAGCAACGCCTCCGCCCACTTCTGTACATCACCACCTGTTTGACATAAACACAGCACACAGGTGAGATAAGATAGTTTCTGTAACCTCTGCGTGACGTGAGCTCTGAGTATCTGAGTATCTGAGTTTCTCGTGCAGCTTCTGAGTCAGGCTCTGTTTGTTCTTCAGGTGTGACCAGGTGTGTTTGTGCAGAACCAACCAAACAGTGATTAATGGTTGTTGGGGAAAATGCCCACAGTTAAAGAGTTAGAAGACAGAAACAGCAGGAATTCATTCCATTGAGTAACAAATGCTGCTGTCGTTCATTCACTCGAGCGATTCACGTCATCTGACAACGCCACATGCATGCACACATGGACGTGGCTTTAAGGAGAACTTCAGGCCGTCCTCTCTGACTAACAGCGAGACGTGGGTTTGAGTGTTGGATTGTTTTCGCTGCTCAGACAAATGGGGTCAAGGGTCATGAACTAATGTCAAGGGACGGCGTGAGAAAGATGGAGGACCTACTATCAGGTCACTAAAGTTCATGTGACGACACCTGAGCGTCTCCATTCACTGGGCAGCTGTGGCTCAGGAGAGAGAGTGGGTCGTCCACTAACCAGGAGGATCGAACCCTGTCTTCCTCATCTCTCGTGCTGAAGTGTCCGTGGGAAAGATATTGATATGTTGATATTGCCGTGCCAGCAGCGTATGACTGATGATGAGAGAAAAAGTTCTGCACAAAGGAAGATACAAATACAGACCATTGAACTCACTGTTATTGACCTCTGATATTTAAAAATATTAATCTCTCCTTCTCTCTCTATCTTTGTGTGTGTGTGTGTGTGTGTGTGTGTGTGTGCGCACAGTATTTTCGTTGGCCTCACTATGGGAAAGTGGTCAAAGATGAAGTTTTGTCTGTCAGTGTTTACAACTGCAGTAAAGTTTTCTCCAACAGGTAACAAATACACACACACGCACACACACACACAGACTGAATTGAAAACATAATTTAATGTGTGTATATCTGTGTGTGTTTGTGCAGACTGCTCGGGAAACTTGTCGTCAGTCTCCAGCATGTTGTTACCTCAGGGAGACTGTTGCTACGGGAACCACTCACTGACGCCAACTACAGCTTAACTGATGTAAGGACACACATACACACACACACACACACACACACACACACACAACACAAGTCCTTCAGACTGTTTGACAATGACTGACACAAAATAAAGGACGAGGTGTTTTCCACTGGTATTTCTGTGAGTTTGATGTGAATCAAGTTTAACCTGGAACTTGCTGCTTCCAGGAAGTAGCCATATGTCAGTCACTCTGCCTTTATGTTACGTAAATCAAAGATATTACTAAATAGTGTTAAAGATTCACCTCAGTACTAGAGTGTGTAGTGTTACACTCTGTAGGTTGTGAATCACTGACACATTTTCCCCATGGGAAACATGTTAAGATTATAAAATGATGAATTTCACAAAACACAATATTGACTATGGGTATGAAATGGAAAATAAACAGTGCTCTGTGTTAAAATAAAATGAAAAAACATCCATCCAACCATCCTGATTCCAAATTTGTGCCTTTCTCCTTTGCTCTTGTCTTATTTTCTACGGCCTCTAAAGGTTTTTATTGGAGGGAAATCTCCCTCTTTGTTGTATTAGAGAAAACAGACCCTTGTTACCATCACGTCTCTCTCTTCTCTCTCTAGATCTATATCGAGCTGGATATTAATTATCATCCAGTTGAGGGATCTGCAGGAGGATGGGTGGGACTTGACTTCCTGAACGTTGAGGAGAAAGACGAGTAAGAACATGTCCACTTGTGACTGGATACTTAACTTAAGGAGACAAAAAGCTCAAAGTCTGCAGTAAATGGGACTCTGCTCTTGAACAAAGGTTATTTTTCTCTTGTCTCTCTCTCTCTCTTCCTTTCTTCATCCTCAGATCGGGTCTGGTCATCATGAATGAAGGATTTGACGACCCAGAGAGGTGAGAGCTAACATCACTTACACATGCATTTTCTCAGCTATAGCATCCAAACGGGTGGGAGGCGGTTGCTAACATGCACGTCTTGTGTGAGGAGCGTTGGAGTACCTGGAGGAGGTTGGGTCAAAGTGGGGTTCAGAGTGAGGCGACAGAGTTAAACGCTGCACCAGCATGCCACATACAAACACAATAAAAAACTAGAATTACTGCCTCTGCCAACCAGTGCAGTTTCAGTCCCTCCTCAAATTACAATTACAATGATGATGTCACAGTGACCATTGACCTTTGAGCACCGAAATCTAATCAGTTCACTCGTGAGTTCAAGTGAATGTTTGTATTAAATTTGAACAGATTCTATCAAGTTGTTTCTAAGATATCAATAAAATGCTTGTAATCACAGTGACCTTGACATTTGACCCCCAACCACCAAAATTGAATCAGTTCATCTTTGAATCCCAGAGAACGTTTGTACCTAATGCAGAAAGATAAAAAGATAAGACACATGCACCAAATCTCCCTCTCCACCGTCAGTCAGAGGACTTTCATTCGACCAGATCAGCTGGAGCGGGAGGTTCGACGTCTGGGCCGAAGCTTGGTCAGGACTGGAGATGAAGATGACGACGATGACGACGACGACGATTATGACGATGACATGATGGACCAGGAGACCAACGTCACTATCACTCCTCTGCTGAGGTCTGCTCACCTGTGTGTTGTCAACTCATCACAAACTCACCCGGGTGGAGTTAACGTGATGTTCAGTCAACAATGTGTGTGTCTGTGTGTGTCTGTGTAGTCGGTGCAGGCCGATGTCCAGAAGTGTTGTCGCAGGAACACCCAGAGTACAGAGCTTCCAGGTGAGGCTGTCCATCCATCCATCCGTCCATCTGTCCATCCATCCATCCATCTGTCCATCCATCCCATGTCACAATAAAACACACCTAATAGAATAGACACAGTTACAAACAGGCTGGTGAACATTTACTTTTCCCTCAGGAGTGAATATTACACTCATATTGTTCCAGTGGCCTGAAACCTGACTCCTCAAGTGCTGTTTGTGTAAATAACCAACTCTTTGCCAACAAGTTCACACAAGGGATTAGATGTCAAAGGCTCACAACTTGTATCTGCTGCCCTCTAGTGACCAAAAAGTCAGTTATTGCACCTTTAAGTATCAGAAAATCATATCATAAAGACTCAACCTAAGCGTGTGTGTGTGTGTGTGTGTTTGCGTGCAGGTGAATGTAAACATCCTCGAGGCTCAGAAGTTGGTTGGAGTGAACATCAATCCTGCAGTTTTCATCAGAGTGGAAGATCAGAAAAGACACACAGTGACGCAGAAATCGACCAACTGCCCGTTCTACAACGAGGTACAGCAGAGTGGAGAGTACAGTCGAATACTCCACAGTAGATCCTTTACAGTAGAATACAGTAGATTACAAAAAGTACAGTGTAGTGAAATTAATACAGCTGTTGACCTCTCTTCCTCTTTCAGAACTTCCAGTTTGAGTTTCAGGAGGCTCCACAGATCCTCTTTGATAAAGTCATAGAGATAAAGGTCGGTTGTTTTCTTTACTTATGTTTCTACTGCTGTTACCATGGTGACAGACCTGAGCATGGTCAAACTGTACACCTGTGATGTCACCTCCTCTCAGGTGTTCCACAGACGGACTCTGGCCTTCCTGATGACCCACATTGGAACATTTAAAATTGACATCTCCACCGTTTACAACCAACCAGGTACAAGTACCGCTCACATCGTGAGTACTCTGATTAAAATACTGTCAATACTGTCAGTACTCACTGACCTCTGACCTCTCTGTGTATCCAGATCACCGCTTCTACCAGAAGTGGGCCCCTCTCACTGACCCGGCAGACACCAGGTCAGGGATCAAGGGTTACGTTAAGGCAAGCCTCAGTGTGTTTATGAAGGGAGATGCTCTGAACATGCCCAGTCTGCTGCCAAGCTCCACGTCTGGAGCCAGTGAGGATATCGAGAAGTCAGTAGTATATTTACCATAAATATCATAATGTACAGTATTATATCATAATATGAATCATCATCTTCACTCTGATCACAAGTAATTCACTGAAACTACACAAAACAAATCTGAAACAGATGTGCGTTAGGCCCCTGACTGCTGTTGTTATTCTTGCAGGAACCTGCTGCTCCCTCGTGGTATGGCTTCTGAGCGTCCGTGGGCCCGTTTTCGTGTTCGTATTTACAGAGCCGAGGGTCTGCCCACCATGGATTCAGGTCTAATGGCCAAGATGTCAAAGGTCACTGACCGGACAGTCTTCATTGACCCTTATGTACAAGTGACCTTTGCAGGACAACAGGTACTGATGTATTTTAATACAAATGTTGATTAGTTTGTTTTACTCAGAGAGGTAAAAATGTTCATTGCTGTCACAGTTATGGAGCCTTTGAGAAACTCAGGAACGTCTTGTTACAATCTGTGGCTCCGTCAATGCCTGGCTCATATGCATGTTATTAAATATTATATCAATAAAATAATTTTAAACGTTTCTTGAACAATTAGATTCCAGAAACTAATAATCGTCTCCTCAAACATTTATCCTTAAACTGCTTTAGAAGAAACAGAAAAGCTGCTTCACTTTTTTGTTGTTATTATTTTTTTTAGTTAGTGTGGGTAATTGCAGAAACATCTCTTCTTAAATAAATTTCCCAATATGCATTGCTGATCAGTCTTGTGTTGAATCCCACAATGCCTTTTGAGGCCTTTTGCTTATGACCTATAGAAAGTGAAAGGGATTATCCCTCAGTGTGAGGAAGCACTGGTTGAGTGGATGAGAAAGAACCTAAATGTACAAATGGGACTGTTTGCTCTAAGGTTAGTTCCTGAGTTTAGCTTCTTTAGTTCCATAGTTCCTGAAATTTTGAAAGGGGCTCGTCATCTTCTTATGTGTATTCATGAATCCAGGGGGAGACATCGGTCGGCAGCGCCACCAGTTTTCCAGTTTGGAATGAGGAGATCAACTTTATTGAACAGTTTCCTCCTCTGGCTCAACGAATCAGAGTTCAAGTCCTTGATGACGCCAAGATGGGAGACATCGCTCTGGCAACACACTTCCTGGATCTGCAGCAGATTTCCGACCCCACCAGGAATGGTATAAACAGCAACTTACACAGAGAGAGCAGCCTTTACTCACACGTCGCCTGACTTAACTGGGGAATGTCTGTCTATCTTTTGTGGGCAGGGTTTAACCCCACCTATGGGCCCAGTTGGGTCAATCTGTATGGTTCTCCGCAGAACTCCACCCTTGGAGACGTCCACCAGGTAAACCAAACTCAATATTTGAAGATATTGATCAGGCTTTTGGTAAACACACATCTTCACTTTCTTGCAGGGTTAGGTAAAAAGTCTTGGTGTTTTATTGCCAGGAATCCAACAGAGACTCCAGAAAGTCCTTGCACCTACAAAGATAGTTTGGTACTCGCCCCCCAACAATTGCTCCAACAAACCACAATTTGGCTAATACTTGTTTTTCCTTCAGGCTTTGAACCAGGGTCTTGGTGAAGGAATCTTTTATCGTGGTCGAATTCTCCTTGCCCTCAGTGTGGAGGTCTACGCCTCACCGGTCGCTGGATCTGCAGACACAGGCCCAGTCTCAAAGGTTGCCTCTTCTTCTTTTTCTTCTATAAAAATAAAGCTCTGTGAACACTTATAACACCTCAGAGTCAGGATGTTATTACTTATATACTCACAATATCTAATGAAATCTTGTGTGACCTTATCAAGACTCAACTGAATTCTTCTGATCTCTAACTTCATGGGCTCATATTTCTGCTTTCGAAAGGTGAAAGGAACACTGGGGAAGCTCGGACTGAAGAGAAAGAGAAGCAGCAAGAAGAAGGAGAAGAATGAAGGTCAGTGATTAGAAGAGAACCGCTCTTTTCCAACATTTGTTTTTGCGAAACTTGATGATGAGACACATTTTCACTCGGGCCCTGTTCATTACACAGATAGGTCCAGGACACTACAAATTCCATTTTATTTTCAAATATGCAGAATGATAGCATGAAACAATGCCGTGAGCAGGAACACCAATTGGTTGTTTTTGTTATAGCATCTATGGCTGCCAGTGGATTTCTCAGTGAGTCAGGGGATGCAGGAGTTGAGGTACCAGAATCTGTTACCGTGGAGACTGAGGAGGTCCACCCTCTCCCTGAGGTCAGTGCCCTCATCACTGGTACTATTTGTGTTTATGAACATTCACTATGAAAGATTTCTTCTTTATGGTGTTCTTCCAGACTTTCAATATCTATTTGCTTTTCCTGCTCGTCTTTCTTCATTTCTTTTTTGCTCCTCTATTGGAGAGTGTGACCTCCTGCATCTCTCAGATTTGTCTTTGTTTTTCATCCTCAGGGTTTCCTGGGGGAAAAGGAGGATTTTCTGCTGTTTGCATCTCTGTTTGAAGTCACAATGATGGACCCGTCTGTAGGAACCAGACCCCTGACGTTTGAACTCTCCATAGGTAAAAGCTGTTTTCTATTATCCTGGTTGTGAGAACAATTTAATCACAGATATACATGTATACAACAGCAGCTCAACAATAATTACTTTCATTAATCTGTCCAAACATAACCAAAGTTATTCAACACTATAACATAAGTCAAAGTAAGGCACACAATTCCAAAGCTAACACTGAAGAATGTTTGACAGTTTGACATTTTTCATGAAAAATTATGTTAATGATCAATCGATTATAGTGATCAATAGTTGTCAATAGTATCAATAGTTATCTGAAGAGTTGTCCCCAGCGAACCAAATGTGAGCTCTTAGCAGAGACTAGCTGCCAATTAGGTGTTGGCTCGAGTTTGGAGATGCAGGTTATGCATTACACATTGATCTACATAAGTTATATGTCAATGTGTTGAATTTGTGCCTTTGGGCCTGAGTCAGGATCTGATGCTAGTTTCAAAACATTGTCACCAGACCGTTGTGGCTACCTGGAGTTATGGGAACTGGATATTAGTCCAGACATGGTGCCTGTAAAAAAATTTTTTTTTTTGCATGGCACATGGATAATATATCAGATAATAATATACGGTTAAGATTTTATTGCCAGTATCAAACCTCTGAGCTTCACTAGCTGTTCTGTTTCTCACAGGGAATTATGGGAAAGCGGTGGGGGTTGGGAGATCCAAGAAGAACCAGAGCAGGGAGGAGCTGAGAAGAAGCAGAGAGGAGCTGAGAAGGAGCAGGGAGGATCTGAGTGAGGAAGCACAGAGTCTGCTGGAGTCAGAGGACGAGCTCGACAAGGAGGAGATCCTGAATCTTGAACCTGAGAACAGATCATTGTCCACTCCCATGAGACCCCAGGCTACTGAGTATGACAGGTAAATAACCTCTGCACCTAATAATAAGCTCCTCAGCCACCTCATTCAACTGCTCATGTGTGAAACCTAAAGACTTCTTGGCCAAATGGGAAAGAGTCTCTCATCAACCAGGATCCAAGAAGTGGCTGCAGAATCCCCCATCTGTGCACTTTATCTTGAAAAACATATTTCATAGATGTTCTTGCATTGCTCTTAGTTTAGGTAAATTTTCTGCCACTTCTTCACAGTAAGCCCAGGGGCAGCATGCCGAATAAAGAAGCCTATTTATTCTTCTTCCCAAACACCCTCTAGTTATTCCTAGACCAGATGGTATGGTCTCTCTAGTCTTTATGTTGCTTTGTCTGAGTCCTCAAACCCTGCCTCCTCCACAAGTGGCATGTCAGTAAGGTTTAAGAGTTTCTCAAAGCTTTCTGTTCCCCTCAACAACATTATCTTAAGTCAAGGTCAGCAGTCTGTTTCCCACGTGTTAAGCCCTGCCTCTTCTTTCTGCATACAGTTTCAGACCAATTGAAAGTCCTTCCTTATTCCCAACCAGTCATCTAATCCACCTGGATTTGGGAGTTGAAGACCTAGTGAACAGTCACAACTCAGCTAAAGGGGGTTGTTTGTGTGTTTGATCCCAATGGTCTGACCACTGTGTTGCCAATGACTTGCATGGTGGTTCACTACCATTTACCATAATATGGTAGCAATTCTTGGGGAGATAAATACTGCACAATACTGCCCACTTCTTCTCTTTCTGTCTTTCAGGTCATTCCAGTGTCTTCCCCTCCAGCCTTCCTCCATGAAACAGAAGCCGTGTCTATTTGTTTGGAGTCAGTTTGAAGATCACAGCTTTCGTCTCTATCAGGCAAACTGGCTCAACAAGATGGCCGACAGGCTGGTAAGGCACAAATGATTAATTTCTTTAGCAAATAATACAGAATGAGGTGATGTGTATAAACTGTGGTCATGTCTTCTCCACTCCCCTGAAGGAGATTGGCCTTGATGATGTGGAACGACTCCTGAGGAGGCCAAGGAGTAATGCAAAGGAACGTTTGGTGGAGGTGTTGCTGGAGCTCTTGGTCTGCTGCAAGTTAGTTCCATCTTGAAAATTCTAACTGAATACTTTGAAATTTTTTGATTTGTCCCCTACGTAACTGGCTTTACCCCTGTCTGTCCTCCTTCTTCCTTTTTGTCCTCCTGTCTGTTTGTCTCCCTGCAGACAGTATAATATTTTTGCCGACAGGAAGTCTCAGTCTCGTCCCAACAACCTTGACAGATGCCGTAAGGAGTTCATCAAGAAGAATTTGGTGATTCTGCTCACACCTGTCTATATCTCTCTATCTCTCTCTAACTACCTGTCACTATATAACTACCTATTAACTGAATGTCTGACCATCTCCAGGTCCTACTGGCCAGACAGGCAGTGAGGGCCAGGCGGAGGATAACCAGGCGGTTGGTCAAACAGCGGTTGATGGATACCAGGAAACTCCTGAAGAAACTCCGCCTTCTGGCTAAAGAGGTCAGAGAGAGATGACCATAGGTCACAATAAACATAGCAAAGGTAGCAATATGTATCATGTTTGAGGTCTGACCTCCCACCCCCAAACTACACTCTTTCTAGCCCCAAAATACCATCCCGGATGTGTTTCTGTGGTTACTGAGTGGAAGCAAGCGATTGGCTTACATCAGGATCCCTGCCCACTCCATCTTTTTCTCATTGGTCGAGGAGCAGAGGGGACGAGACTGTGGCCGAGTCACCACCTTGTATATGAAGGTATCTAAGATTATCAAGGACCCTCGTTGTTATTTCTCTAAATCATCCATGACATGCATAGTTCTGGCTCTAAAATGTATGGCTGACGGTCACTATTCTTTTTCTAAAATCAACATTTGCCTAGGTCTACTACTTGGTCTATAAAGTCATCTCCAGTGCTCATTATGCTCATTACTCCGTCACTAGAATGATCAATATCATTCACCATCCTTTCTCTTACAGGCTCAGTGTTACTTCTCTAAAACCACTGATAACACTTGATGTTCCTTCTTTAGAATCCCCAACGATGCTCACCTTTCTGACTCAAAATCATTGATAACAATCATTGTTCTGTTTTTGACCATTGCTCTTTTGTCTAAAATCATCATTGGAATCATTATTCGTCCGTATTTCTGTCCGTTCTTCCAGTCTCCAGGAAGTTCAGCAAGGGAGATCTTCGCAAAGCTTGAGGTCTACCTGTGGCTTGGTCCATCCAAGTACAGTAAAGAGGCCACCAACTGCTTACCAGAGGAGTTCCAGCCGGTCTTTGAGGAGGAGGAGGAGGAGCAGAGGAACCTTGCCTCTGCGGGGAGGAGGAAACTTCCTGTTAGTCTGTCCTGCCAGGGTGAGCCAGCTGACCTCCAGCTAGGATTGATGAAGATATTTTCTGTGTTGTCTGTACTTCAAAAAATACAGAGACTTGCATTACGTCTCTGCTCGACTCATCAACAGTGAAAGTAGATCTTTTTCTTTGCAGACAGCAGGTTCTTCCAACTACGATGTCACCTGTACCAGGGGCGTGGCCTAATTGCAGCTGACGACAACGGACTGTCAGATCCCTTCGCCAAGGTCCTTTTCTCTACTCAGTGCCAGGTCACCAGGGTAGGTATAGTGGTGCAATCGTCCCATTCATTGAAAGGTTAATTTCTTCATTCTTTCATTGAAGACACTGATTTAAAATTCTGAGCCTGATATATGGAATTGGTGCCTCACACACATTTTTATACTTATTCTATGTGTTTGTGTTTACGTGTGTGGGTTGTCAGATGTTGCGAGACACGCTCTCTCCAGCCTGGTGTGAGTGTTTGTTGTTCGACAGAGTCCTGCTGGAAGGAACGAGGGAGGAACTCCAACGAGACCCACCCCTCATCATCATCAACATCTTTGACTATGACTCAATGGTGACACTGACCTTCTTCTTCTTAGTATTATTACCAAACATTCATTGAAGAAATGCTGTGAAAACAGCCTCTGCATTATTGTGTTTGTGTAGGGTAGTCCGAAGCCGCTGGGTCGGGCGTTTGCAGAGCCAGAGTTTAAACCTGTGGAGCAGTTTTACCAGAGGCCCAACCTCCGTTTCTTTGACGTCAACTTGGGAAGGGCCCCTGCCGGTGAGCTGTTGGCTGCCTTTGAGCTCATCGAGCTGGACTACACTGGGTTTGGAGAGGTAACACATGTTGATCAATAAATCAATTGCTTAGTGTCTCTTTCTACCATAGACTGTGGATAAAAATGGACTCCGGGTCTGGAACGTGAAAAACTCATGTCATTAACAAAAACACAATATACTTGAATTAATTCCAGACAGTGAACTAAAATATAATCTCACCCCTGCAGCCCTGCCTCCCCAGCAGTGCAGAACCTCAGGAATTGACCTACATTGAGGAGGAGAAATATTACATCATCCCAGAAGGAGTCCGACCTGTTCTGAAGACCTTCAGGATAGAGGTCTCACACATGCAAACTTGCACTATTGTGTATGATTGTTTAAGGGACAGCAAGCTTATAGGTGTGTATTTGTGCTCAGGTGCTGTTCTGGGGTCTGCGCGAGCTGAAGAGGGTGCAGCTGTTTGAGGTGGAGCGCCCCCTGGTGAGAGTGGAGTGTGCAGGACGACAGCTGGAGTCTGAAGAGGTCGAGAGCTACAAGACTCACCCCAACTTTAAAGAGCTGGTCCGCTACATTGATGTGGTCAGTTTCTGTTATTACTGATGGTCACTGACATCTAGGTTAAAGAAATACATCTTCTTTCACTTTATTTTTTGGGGGGCCACACCCTGTGTATCCATTGCAAGCATACAGCTAACGTCCTTCCTCTTGTTTTTTTCTGTCTGCCTGTCTGATCCAATCAGGACCTGCCAGAGCAGGCCTACCTCCACCCTCCTCTGACATTGTTTGTGGTCGAGCATCGAGCCTTTGGTAGACTTGCTCTAGTTGGGTCCCACGTGGTCCAGAGTCTCATGTATTATGCCCCGCCTGAGCTGGGTGGGAGGGAAGAGGAGGAAGATGATGAGCCAAAACCAAAAGGTAAGAGCTAGCCATTGACAGACATGGACTTAGACTCTGTGTCCAGAAACTGAAGCTAATGAGGAAGTACCTGAAACTTGTTTTCTCTGGAATGACCAGCAAAGTCCATAAGAAAATGATTTTACTCCTCACTGGATTTATAATGTCAGTAAACTTTTTCCCAAGGAACTTTATGGTCCATCTTCAAGTCTTCTTTAATACAGCATTATGTTCATTTAGTAAATTATGGTCCCATTTCGAGTCAAATCGATGATTATGAGCTTGTGGTTGACTTCTGTCCTGAAGTTTTAATGGACACTGTTTTTCTTTACTAGTGGTGAGGCGGAACACAGTGCAGTTAAACAGTCTGTCCACAGTGAAGAAGATGGGACTCAGCACCCTGTCAATCAAACAGTCCAAGATTCCATTCAACCCCATGAAGCTGATTAATGTACGCTGCCTAATCTCCTCCACATTCTCCTCTGGTTATACAAATACAAAACAACTGTTCAGTCAAATGTTAACCAGTTTTAAACCATGTGAGATGAAAGATTGTGTTAATGTTGACGTTTTTCCCGCCGTCTCAGTCTCCTCTGAAGAAATTGATAAAAACCGGCGAGGAGCTTGAGGAGGAGCTGCCCGAGAAGGAGGAGTTGGACTGGTGGTCAAAATATTATGCTTCAGTGGACGAGCTGGAGAGACAGGTGAGACTTCATTCCATCATATTTTTCAATTTGCCTTCCTGCCCTTAAGTTAAATAACAAATTCTGTAGTAAATGCTAATGAGAATGAAAATCGAATTAAATGGATGAAAAAA